TTTAGTGTAAGTAAGTCCCTGAGACTGACTTAATTCTAAATGACCTATTCTTTGTGAATCCCAATCTTTGAAATTTTTATAAATATTATGCACAGCCAAAAAGAAAAGAAAAGAAAAATGCAATGATGAAGCAGAAAAATGTCAGCTGAAAATTATCAGAGAGGAAAACAGAAAACCCACAGGACTTATGGGCTATGGTCAAGAGAGCCAATATTCATATTATGGGAATATAAGGAAAAGGGGCAGAAAGCATATTTAAAGAAATAATGGATAAAAGCTTCCCAAATCTGGGGAAAAATATAAACATCTAAGTATATGAAGCTCAAAGGTTTCCAATCAGTTTCAAATCAAAGACTTTTTGAAGACATAATATAATGAAACTGTTATAAAATCAAGACAAAGGGAAAATCTTGAATGCCCAAAGAGTAGTTTCCTCACATTCTTATAAAAGGGAATCTCCATATGGCTCTCAGTGGATTTCTCGGCAGAAAACTTTACATGCTGGGAGAAAACTGGATAATACATTCAAAGTGCTGAAAGTATAACAAAACCTGCTAACCAAGAATACTTTACCTGACATGACTGTCCTTCAGAAATGATGGAGAGATCAATCTTTCCCAGACAATCACAAGCTGAGAGAGTTCATCACACTAGACCTGCCTTACAAGAAATGCTAAAGGGAGTTCTTTGAGCTGAAATGAAAGGATGCTAATTAGTAAGATGAAAACATATTAAAATATAAAACTCACTGGAAAAAATAAATAAATGAGAGGACTTCATTTTCATTGAAAATGGAATTAAAAGATAAAAGTAAAAAAACATAGGCTTTATTTCTCAACATAAGCTCAATCAAGTTCAAGATACTTTTGTAAGCAAGGATATCAGCCATTTAGTCTGTCACTAAAGAAATGAGAGTCCTAGGAATTTAACTATGTTAATGTAGTCTTTTGACATTACTAACTGAACAAAAATGGGTGCTTTTTAAAGGTATTTTTAAAGGGCTGTCATTGTGGCATTGCAGGTAAAGCCACCAAGTAAGACAATGGCATCCCATATGGGTGCTAGTTTGTGTCCTGCCTGCTCCACTTCTGATCCAGCTCCCTGCTAATGGCCTGGGAAAGGAGGAAAGAAACTGGATCCTTATCTTACATCATACACAAAAAGTCAACTCAAAATTATTTTAAAAATTAAATATAAGACTTAGAACTATAAAACTCCCAGAAGAAAAAAGGGGAAAGTGCCATGACATTGGCTACAATTTTTTAAAATATGACACCGAAGGCACAGGCAACAAAAGCAGAAAACAGAAGAATGGCATCACAGGGATGGGTGCTGTAGTACAGTGGTAAAGTTACTGCTTGGTACACCCACATCCCATATTGGAGTGCCTGGGTACAAACTTCTACCTCTGCTTCCAATCCAAATTCCTGCTACTACACCCTGGAGTAGTAGGCAATAGCTCAAGTACTTAGGGGCTCCTGCCACCCATGTGGGAGACCTGAATGTTCCAGTCTTCTGGGTTTAGCCTGGTCCAGCCCTTCCTGTTGCAGGCATTTGGGGAGCAAATCAGCAGATACAAGATTTTTCTCTCTCTCTCTCTCTTTTCCCAACCTCCTCCTTCTCCTTTGTCCCACTGTCACTGTCACTCTCACTCTGGCTTTCAAATAAATAAAACCTAAAAAAAAGAAAAATGGCACCACATAAAAATAAAAAGTTTCTGCACAGCCGGGGAAACAATCAATAAAAAGAAAAGGCAACTTACAAAATGGGAGAAAACATTTTTAAACTGGGTATCTGATAAGAAGTTAATATCTAAAGTATATAAAAATTCATACAGCTTAATAGCAAAAGAACAACAAAAACCACAACAAATAACCCAATTAATAAATGGGCAAAGGACCTAAACAGACATTTTTCCTAGGAAGACTCACACGTGGCCAACAAGTATATGAAAAGATGCTCAACAATGCTAACCATCAGGGAAATATCCTTATACATGTGAGAATGGCAGTTTTCTTATTGAGAAGATAAAAGATAATAAGTGTTGACAAGGATACAGAGAAAAGAAAACACATTTGCACAGTTGGTAGAAATGTAACTTGGTATTGCTACTATGAAAAACAGTACGCACGCTCCTCAAAAAATTAAAGCAACTATATGATCTAGCAAACCCAATTCTGGGTATAAATATCAAAATGAAATAAAATTACTATATCAAAGACCCAATTCATTGCATCATTATTCACAATAGCCAAGACAGGGGAACAGCACAAATGTCAAGAAATAAATGGATAAAGAAGTGGATACAAGGAGTCTTCAAAAAATTCACAGAGGGTAGGTGGTTAATACACCTGTATTCCATATTGGAATGCCTGGGTTTTCTGCCTAGGTCTACTTCCAGTTCCAGCATCCTGCTAATGTACACCCTGGAAAGCAGCAGGTTCAAGCAGTTGGGTCACCTGCATGGGAGACCTGGATTGAGTTCCCAGCTCTGGCTTCAACTTGACCCAGTTTTCACTAAAGACATTTGGGGAGTGAATCAGTAGACAAGAGATACCTTTCTCTTCCTTTCAAATAATTAAACAAATAATTTTAAAATTTTCTCTTTAAAAGACACTATTAAGAAAATAAAAAGGCAAGGCATTCACGGGAGAAAATAACTGCAAACATACATATGGCAAAGACTTATACACAGAATATAGAAAGAACTTCCACAATTTACCAATAAAAACAACTCATTATAATCACATAAAAGATTTGAGCAGACATATAGCTAAAGGAGATAAATGGATGACAAATAAGAAAATGAAGATGTGCAAAATTATTAGTCAATAGGGAAAGGCAAATTAAAACAAGAATATATACCTATTAGAATGGCTAAAATTAAAAAGGCACTACATAACAAATGTTGGGGATGATAACTACTGAAACACTTCATGCACTGCTAGTGCAAATGTAAAATAAAAGTGTACAGACACTTTTGAAAGCAATTTAATGGTTTCTTCAAAAGTAAAACACAAATATCTATCATATGACTCAGCCATCATACTCCTAGGAATTAATCCAAGAGAAATAAAAGCATATGTCCACACAAAGACTTGTATGGAAATGTTCTTAGCAGCTTTATTTGTTATGGCCAAAGATGGGAAACAATCCAAAAGCCTATGGGTATATCTATATAATAGAATACTAGTCAGTAATCAAAAAGAATGAAATACTGATTACACACAACAGCAAGAAAAAATTTCAAAGTAATTATGATGAAGGTACACAGCCCCACAAAAGCATACATACTGTATGTTTTCACTCTCTTAAAATTTTAAAAATCCAAACAAATCTCTGACAGAAAGCAAATCACCAGTTGTCTGGCAATGACAGGGTGGGGAGAGATAACAGAGGAACATAAGGACACTTCTGAGAATAGTAGAGAATATGCTCACTAAATTGATTGTGGTGATGGTTTTACAGGTGCATATATATGCCCAAACTTACTAGCTGAACACATGAAGTATGTCCAGTGTACTGTGTGTGCACTGATTATACTTCAATGAAACTGTTAAGACAAATTTATATACAAAACCCTAAATTATAACATATCTATCCATTAGAATATTTTTAAAGACTACTAGAATGCCTTTAAAGAGATTGTAATGACATGGAGAAATGCTTATGGCAAATAATTAAATGAAATTGACCAAATATAAAACTATATAAGGGTGATCTCAATTCTCCCCAGATTATGGAATCATGAGTAATTTAAATTCTCTCCCTACTTTTTTTTGTATTCCAAGGTTTTCTTTGTTGTCATATGTTTTATAATTTGCTTAATTTTTCCCAGGCTTAAAACACTCTTATAAGCAGGAAATTTTAAAATAAGTGAAAGGAATGAGTTTGAGTAACCATCTGTCCTGACAACTGATTCTAACCTATGTACTATGAGAAGATCAAAGAGAGACTTTGGGAGTTTGTATGCAAACCAAGTATTATCTGTAAATTTAATAATATACTTCTAAAGCATATGAACTCTTTCCCAATATCCACCAATGCACTGAAATTCAGATATGCTCAACTTTTAGAACCTCTATTTCTCATATTAACAGATCTAAAGTAAAACTAGGAATGCAGAGATCTTCAAAAATGTATTCTCCCATACTTATCATCTGTAGGCATCTTTGGTATTTCTTCAGCTAGTATACCAAGTATATAGAAATGGCTAAGAACAATACTTGGCATTCAATTAACAGAAGCTCCATCCTTTTTCTCTAAGACTTTTAATTATAAGCTAAAGTACCCTTTTTCTAAGCTACTGTCCAGTCTGTGCTTTCTTATCCTGTTAATATCCCAGAACAGAATTTAAGTTATAAAGGTACATTAAACAACCAAATACCAAAGCCAAATATGCTGTTTACTCAGAGGGCTTCGTAAAAGTTATTTTGGGGGCTGGCATTGTGGCATAGTGTATAAAGCCTCCACCTGCAATGCTGGCACCCCATATGGGAGCCAATTCCTGTCCCGGCTACTCCACTTCAGTCAGTCTCCCTGCTAATAGTTCGGGAAAAGCAGCAAAGGATGGCCCACGTGCTTGGGCCCCTGCTACCCACGTGGATTCTGGCTTTGGTCTGGCCCAGCCCTAGCCATTTGTGGCCATCTTAGGAGTGAACCAGCAGATGGGAGACTTCTCTGTTTCTCCCTACTCTCTGTAACTCTTTCAAATAAATAAGTCTGGTTTTTTTTTTAAATTATTTTGGTTAAACTTCAAGGCTTTTGCAAAGGAAGGTTAAAATTACTGCAAGTATAACTTTTAGCTACGTGTGGCATTACCAGTCTGACTGATTTTGGTGACATTGTTCAATGTGTGTTGAGGGTTCTACAACTTCAAAACAGTCCTCTCAGAAATTAAAGTCAACAGTAATTTAATTTTCATTATAAAATATACAACAAAAATCAGAGCTATTACCTATAGAGTGAACTGTTAGTTGTTTAAAGGTCATTTAGTTTACCTCAAAGAATTATTCTCTGCTTTTTGTCTGCCAAGTTCACTTTCAGTATCCATTGCCTTTCTTGCTAGTGATTTCATTTCTTTTTCCACAGTAGTTATGGTTTCCTTCATCAAAGTCATATTTGACATTTGCTCCATACGTTCATCATCAAGCTATATTAAGTAGAATGACAAGGTTACTGCCATCACTAAAATGCCTTAGGTATGCTCCTGAAGAGACACATTCCCTCTGTGCAAACTGGTTTATGTCAAGATTTACAGGATGAGATGATCAGTTAGACCTGAATGGAAGGTTTTATGGACAAGGTATTACATAGTAGAAACAAGAACAAGCCACTTAAATTCTTTTCTATAAAGCACATTATAGTATATCAGTCTGTATTTTTCGATCTTGTTCAACTAAACTATAGCATACAAGTCCTATCTGCAAAAGGATTTCTTAATTGTTGTCCAATGTTAATAGCCTACACATATAAAATGAGAGTATGAAAATAAAAATTATGGGCCAGCATTGTGGTATAGCAGGTTAAGCCAGCGCCTACAATACCAGCATCCCTCATGGGTGCCAGTTCCAGTCCTGGATGTTCCACTTCTGATCCAGCTCCCTGCTAATTGCCTGGGAAAAGAAGTGAGGATGTGGTCTAAGTGCTTAGACCCTACACCTACATGGGAGACCTGGAGGAGGCTCTTGGCTTCTGCCTAGCCCAGCCCCTTCCATTGCAGCATCTGAGAATAATGGAAGTGGATGCAAAATCTCCCTTTCTCTCTCTCTCTCTCTCTCTCTCTCTCTCTCTCTCTCTCTCTCTCTCCACCCCTCCCTCCCTCCCACTCTCCCTCTTTGTCTCTCTCTATTTCTTTCAAATAAATGAAAATAAATCTTAAAAAAAAAGAAAAGTGGCCGGTACCGCGGCTCACTAGGCTAATCCTCTGCCTGCGGTGCTGGGTTCTAGTCCCGGTCGGGGCGCCGGGTTCTGTCCTCAGTTGCTCCTCTTCCAGGCCAGCTCTCTGCTGTGGCCCGGGAGGGCAGTGGAGGATGGCCCAAGTGCTTGGGCCCTGTACCCGCATGGGAGACCAGGAGGAAGCACCTGGCTCTTGGCTTCAGATTGGCACAGCGTCAGCCATAGCGACCATTTTGGGGATGAACCAACAGAAGGAAGACCTTTCTCTCTGTCTCTCTTGCTCTCACTATCTAACTCTGCTTTTCAAAAAAAAAAAAATGTTTCTTTTTCTAGTGTTTTTGCTTCATTATAACAAAATGCTACATTTTGGGGAGTGAACCATTTGTCTGTAACTATACCTATCAAATAAATAAATAAAATCTTGAAAAAATAGGTTAGGGTCAGAGCAATTTTTTTACATTATGAACTGTGCACTCCAGCTCCTCTATCCTTTGTTCCAGGTGAGCCTTCTCATTAAATGCTGTCTCCTGGGCAATCTGTTTACAAAACAAAAACAAAACAAATCCTTTCAATGACAGTGCACCTGTGCTTTATATATATTAATACAGGTAAGATGCTTTCATACCTTTAGCCTTTCCCTCAGACTATCTCGTTCTGTGGTCATTCTTCGTAAATCTGTGAAGGCTACATCTCTTTCAGTCTCTACTCGCCGTAGAATAGCATGTGCTGTTGTGGATTTAGGAGATTTACAGCTTTTCATCATTTCTCGTCGAAGTCGGGCAATTTCCTCTTGTGCCTATTATTTAAATACATAGAAGAATTCAGTTTCATAAGCCTTAAGACAAACATAAATGTAGCTATCTTATATTTACCCTGTTAAAAGGCAAACTTATATAAATATGCATGTAGAAGAGTAATGGTATTTTTATTTTTAAATGAGTCTATACAGATAAAACGAATGTATTTAAGTAGAAATTCACTTTATAATATCTTGGCCAAAAATTTAAAATAAAATTAACTCAGAGTCAGTGCACCAGAAAATGTTTCACTAAGAAATTTATTTATTTAACATATTCTATTAATATATTTTAAAGCATAAATTTGAATTCAATACAATTGAAAGAGACTATTGTTTTAATGAATATCAACATAATGTTTTGGGGGCCGGCGCTGTAAGTGGGTAAAGCCACTGCCTGCAGTGCCAGCATTCCATATGGGTGCTGGTTCGAGTCCTGCTGCTTCACTTCCAACCCAGCTCTCTGCTATGACCTGGGAAAGCAGTAGAAGATGGCCCAAGTCCTTGGGCCCCTGCACCCACATGGAAGACTCAGAAGAAGCTCCTGGCTCCTGGCTTTGGATCGGCCCAGCTCCAGCCGCTGAAGTCAGTTGAGGAGTGAACCAGCAGATGGTAGACCTCTCTCTCTCTCTCTCTCTCTCTCTCTCTCAATGCCTCTCCTTCTCTCTCCATGTAACTCTTTCAAATAAATAAATAAATCTTAAAAAAAAAACATAGTGTTTCAATCTTTCTCTATTAAAAATGCAAATGTCATTCCCAAGTCTTGGCAACTAATGGAGTTGGATTGGAAGTGGAACAGCTGGGACTCAAACTGGTGCTCATATGACAGCAGCTGGAACTCAAAAAGGTGCTCATATGGGATATCAGTGTCACAGGCGGCAGCTTAAACCGCTGCGCCACAATGCAGGCCCGGGTATGTGTTTTTTTAATTCCCAAACCCTTACTGTTTCACCTTGAAATCACAATGCCCTATCATTTAACACTTTCCCATTTGTCATTCTGAAAATTAGATTATATTTATACATGTATATGATCTTTGTGGAGGTATGGAAATACATGTGTGTACTCATACATTCACTATATTGTAAACATATTACATGTCATTAAGAGCATCTTAAGAACAAAAGCAATCCCCAAATGTTATATTAATTTGACTGACAGGTTTAAGAACTCTAATGGAGCTTAAAAAGGATTCCATATCTCTAGGATTATTACTTACATAATTTTCTTACTCATAAATAAGCTTACTTGTTCATAAAGAAGGAAGGTCTTGTCTCTCTCAGATGTAAGAACTTTGACATTACCCTGAATTTCTGCCAAATGACGCTCATATTTTTCCAGCATGCATTTAAGTTCTTCACGATCTCTTGTTGTTGACTTCAAAAGCTCTACATCACAATTTGCACCCTGCAATTATTATATAAGACATTTGAAATGCTTCTTTGACATAGGGCACTAATAAAAAGGTGCTACCGATAGCAATACACATCTCTACCAAGCAAACATGATGATATAAAGAAAGGAAGTGATAAAGACAAAGCTACAAAATCATCTCTTTTAAACAGCTTCATCCTAAATTGCTCCGCATTATCTGATTTACCTCCCAACTATTAACTATGCTGAGGATAAAGAACTAATTACAGGTAGTCTACTACAGCCATCAGAGACCTCGCTCTCCAAACCTCAACTCATATCAAATTAAAATGAATTATTTCCAGATTAGGTAAATCAAAGAATAAGAGTAGTATGTGAACAACAAACTCCAAAGTATTTATAAGTTTCTAAAACCTACCCGGGAAGATGGTGATGGGCGTCTTGGACTTTTAGATCTACTTCTGATCATCTTTCTCAAATTTTGTGCTTCACTCCTGTAGTAATCTCTGTCTGCTTCCAAAGTCTTGACAAAGGAATCAAGTCTGGAAGGAGATTTATTTTGTGCTTTTTCAGTCTCTAAAATTATCTTCCCAAAGAAGAAAAAAATCAGGTCATTATTTTAAGCTAAACTATAGTGTCCTTTTCTAAATGAAAGCTTTAATTTTTAATGGTATCCTTAAAAATATTAAATTTGGGAGTGGTAGTGCTGTGGCATAGCTGGTTAGGCTGCTGCCTACAGTGCTGACATCCCACTTGGGGGTGAGTTCAAGTCCCGGCTGCTCCACCTCTGATCCACCTCTCTGGTAATGTACCTGGGAAAGCAGCAAGGGATGACCCAAGTGCTTGAGCTCCTGCACCCATATGGGAAACTCAGAAGAAGCTCTTGGCTCCTGGCTTTGGCTTGGTCCAGCCACAGCTGTGGTGGGCATTTGGGGAGTGGATCAGAGGATGAAAGACCTCTTTCTCTGTAACTTTGCTTTTCAGATAAATAAAATAAATCTTTAAAAAATACATTAAATTTGGTACTTTAAAGATACAAAAATTTAAAAATACCTTGGCCAGTGCCACGGCTCACTAGGCTAATCCTCCATCTGTGGCACCAGCACTCCGGGTTCTAGTTCCAGTCGGGTGCCGGGTTCTGTCCCAGTTGTTCCTCTTCCAGTCCAGCTCTCTGCTGTGGCCTGGGAAGGCAGTGGAGGATGGCCCAAGTTCTTGGGCCCTGCACTCGCATGGGAGACCAGGAGGAAGTACCTGGCTCCTGGCTTTGGATTGGCGCAGCACACAGGTCGCAACGTGCTGGCCGTGGCGGCCACTTCGGGGGTGAACCAACGGAAAAAAGAAGACCTTTCTCTCTGTCTCTCTCTCTCACTGTCTAGCTCTGCCTGTCAAAAAAAAAAAAAAAATTAAAAAAAAAATACCCCATAATTAGTTTTTGAAAAGCAGTTAGATGCCTTTCCTTTCCAGCATTTCTGGATGTGCTATATTTTTATTTAATTGAAAGCATCCCTAAATCCACTGAATAATTTTTAAGAAAAAATGGTTAAAAAACATTCATTGCCCAGAAATATCTGCCAACAGATTCCAAATCCCAGAAATGGAATTAATTTGTTTTAGGAAAACTTGTGTGCTATTATTAAAGCATCTATTAAAATGTGTAAATTCTATTCAATTATTGTTCAATGAATGAATGAATGAATGAAATATTGGGTATTCCTTACTTACACATGCACTTTCAAGTGCATTCCCATGAATTTCAACCAAATTTGATATGTTTAGAAACATTTCTTGAACAACTCTGTTACCAATATGGAAGAAAACTACAGATTCTTTCAAAAAGTGTTTTAAGTATTTTAAATGATAAGACTGAAATGTTTAAGTACAACAGTTTTCATTTCAAGTTGCTGGATAAATAAAATGCATTACTTGGAATTAAGTAACAAAAATTAATGGCTTTAAAATATTACTAAGGGCAATGAAAGTTCATGTGTAGGCAAATACACCTTACATTTTGAGAATTAGCTCTTTCAGGGTCATTATTTTAAATCAAGAAACAGCTAAATGCATTAATGAAACCAAACAAAAATTGTTCTTTCCTTCCAGGAAAGAAAGTAGTCATGAAATGGAGCATGAAAAGCATCAGTCTGACAGACAGCCTGAGCTGTGAGTACTGATTTAAGAAAACAAAAGGTATGAGAGACAAAACATACATGTAATTTTTGTAGCTTACTAACCAGATACAAATGATTCTTTAACATTCACTTTTAAAAAAATGTACTTACAGATCTAAGCTTTTTTATAGTATCTTCCAATACTATTATGTTATTTTGCTGGCAAATGAGTTCAATCTAAAAATCAAGCAAAACAGTACATGTTACTTATATTAAAGATGTTTAAACTGATTTAACTGAAAGGAGAGCATATGAAAAAAACAAGACACTTACAAACATGAAGGTAGTGAATATTTTTAAGAAGAAAATAACCTACCTCTTATGTTGACCTACATTTAATGGTAAAAGAATCTACCATGAAATATAGCATTCCTTTAAATTATGCACTATTTTGCATAAAATATTAATTGACTATATTTTTCCAAACTATGCCCCACAAATGGTAATAAAATTTTAATACCAATTATAATTCTAAAGATGGAAATATAGAAGTGATAAGAATGGTTGATGGGGCCGGTGCTGTGGTGCAGTGGGTTAATGCTCTGGCCTAAAGTGCCAGCATCCCATATGGGTGCTGGTTCGAGACCCAGCTGCTCCACTTTTGATCCAGTTCTCTGCTATGGCCTGGGAAAGCAGTAGAAGGTGGCCCAAGTCCTTGGGCCCCTGCACCCGCATGGGAGACCCGGAAAAAGGACTTGGCTCCTGGCTTCGGATTGGCGCAGCTCCGGCCGTTGCAGCCATCTGGGGAGTGAAACAGCAGACAGAAGACCTTTCTCTCTCTCTGCCTCTCCTCTCTCTGTGTAACTCTGACTTTCAAATAAATAAAATAAATCTTTTTTAAAAAAAAAGAATGGTTGAAATAAAAGTTTTCCCAAGTTATCTCAATCGTAATATACTAATTTCTCCTCTGAACTGCTTTAAATAGTTTATTTCAATCCAACCCAGAAAATATGGTTGAGTCAATTTTATGACATTGAACATTCCCAGTCTTAAGGTGTATCTACCTGCAGACCTATATTTAGAATATGACTGCACTGTAAGTTCCTAAAGGCTGATAAGTTTTTATGCAAAGCAGTAAAGCTCTTTGCTAAAAATTAGCATAGTAACTTAATAAATGTATTTTTAAATTCGCCAACCATGTCCTCATTATATTAAAATAAAATTTGCCCTGATAATGCCTGCTAGAGTTTGAATTTGAATTTTCTGGTTTTACTGTTCTCCATTTATTTTTTACATCAAGGTTCTTGTCTAGGATGTCTCTGGTAATGACATTTAAGCTCATGAAGCATTAACGGATTCTAAAGTTTGCAATATAAGCTAATGTATAATTTTAAACAAATAATTTTCAATGTTTTAACTATGTAGACTCTAAAAAGACATGGGTGTATTTTGAATAACACGTGAAGATTTCCATACTAAATTAAGAATAAAAATTCACCCGGCAAAACAAGTATCTAGTATGACACATTCTCCTGAAAGTGTATATATACGCATCCTAGATATAGACCAAACAATATATAAACAGAAGAAGATAGATTATGTCTAGGTGTCAAGGTATGATTGTGATAGATGTTATTTTTCATTATACTTTCCTATATAGACTGAAATTCTTATAATTAAACATGTATTATTTTTATCATGATAAAAATAATGCTAATCTTACTCTTAAAAATAAAATTATAACTGGCTCAAGTGAAAACATGCTATCTAGTGTTTTGATTTATTTGACAATTATTCCACAAATGCATAGAGGTCATGTACCTATCTGAGGTTGGTGATTTCTTCATTTCAGGACATTCTACCCACCCAAAGGACCTAGTACTCTTCTGTCTCATCTTTTTTTTAAAGATTTTATTTATTTATTTGAGAGGTAGAGTTACAGACAGTGAGAAGGACAGATGGAGAGAAAGGTCTTCCTTCCATTGGTTCACCCCCAAATGGCCGCAATGGCCAGAGCTGCGCTGATCTGAAGCCAGGAGCCAGGAGCTCCCAGTCTCTCACGTGGGTGCAGGGGTCCAAGCATTTGAACCATCTTTACTGCTTTCCTAGGCCATAGCAGAGAGCTGGATTGAAAGAGGAGCAGCCAGGACTAGGACCAGCACCCATATGGAATGCCAGTGCCACAGGCAGAAGATTAATCTATTACGCCACAGCGTCAGCCCCATTGTCTCATCCTTATTAAGTTTCTCATGTCTTTCCTGAATTGGAAATACAATCTCTATTCATAAATAGCTGCTGCCCACCTCTTCCTCAAATGGTTTTCTAGTTATTGAATATACCCAACATTCCACATTCTAATTGGATATCTATTTCCTACAAATATTCTTTTCTAAGTCAGGCAGAGTTTCCACCTGCAAATTTAGTCTATTCAGTTTTAGGTAAATCCTAGCTCTTATATTTCGGAAGTTTTCCATTCCTGACATTCTTCCTTTCGACAGCAGAAAATTCACCCTGATATAGTAGCATTCATTCTTTCTCTTGAAGACAGATCCTAAGAAGCCTTTAGAACTGAGAAGCTCACTGGAATTCAGCCAACTATGCTTCCCTCAGTCTAGGAAGGAGTTCAATTATTTTTAATTTGAAGAGGAAAATAAGACATTAAAAATCTCTTCAATATAGTAATTTTTATAATTAAGACAAAAACTAAGCTCAATTTTCCACCAAATAATGAATAAAGGATAACTATTCTTAGAGACAATAATAATACAAACAAAAAATTTATTGAGAAATGTTTTCAATATCCAAGCTACTTCTAAATGTTCTTCAAATATTTTAGTAACGGGGCCGGCGCTGTGGCTCACTTGGTTAATCCTCTGCCTGCGGCGCCGGCAATCCCTTATGGGCACCAGGTTCTAGTCCCGGTTGCTCCTCTTCCAGTCCAGCTCTCCGCTGTGGCCCGGGAGGGCAGTGGAAGGAAGGCCCAAGTGTTTGAGCTCCTGCACCCGTGTGGGAGACCAGGAGGAAGCACCTTGCTTCGGATCACCACAGTGCCGTCCGTAGTGGCTATTTGGGGGGGGGGGGGGGGGGGCGAACCAGCGGAAGGAAGACCTTTCTCTCTGTCTCTCTGTCTCTCTCACTGTCTAACTCTGCCTGTCAAATAAAAAAAATTTTAGTAACAACCATTAAAAGATAAATAATTCACAAGGTGAAAAACAAACTACTCAAGCAGTTCTCCTAAACACTCTTCAAGCCAATACTGCTGGAGAAGATCTCATCCTTAAAGCAATAAGCTTCGCATATTTAAACTTTCTATTATTTGTTTGCTAATTTAGATTTATTCATCCTTCATGAGTGTAAATAAGTGAGGTCACTGAGTAAAAACACAACGCTCTAGAGTTCATCACCTGGGCTCTTATATTTCAACTTACTCTAACAAATAACGCCTTCATTAACATGTTCTTAGCCCTATCATTTATTGAATTAAATGCTTTATTAAATGCCACAGGCTTATTATTACTATTATTATTAATATATTTATCTGAGAGACCAAGAGAAAGAGAAAGAAAGAGAGCATCCATCCACTAGTTCACTTTCCAAATGCCTGCAACAGCCTAGCTGGGCTGAAGCTAGGATCTGAAAAACTCAACCCAGGTCTCCCATGTGGGCAGCAAGAGCCTACCACTTCAGTCCTCACCTTTGCCTCCCAGGGTCTGCATTAGCTGGAGTCAAGGGCCAGAGCTAGAAATCAAACACAGGCACTCTGATATGGGACACAGGTATTCTAATAGGTGTCTTACTGCTAGGCCAAACATCTGCTCCTACCACAGGAATCTTGGTCCATTAAAAAGATGTTTAAGAAATGACATTTAGGGGGTGGGAATTGTGGAATAGCAGGTGGGTCACTGCTTGGGATGCTTGCATCCCATACTTCAGTGCCTGTTCAAGTCCCGGCACTTCTGCTTCCGATCCAGCTCCATCCTAATGCATCCTGGGAGGCAGCATCAGATGGGGAGAAAATATTTACAAGTTGCTTAGGTGACAAGAGGTTAATATACAGAATATATACCAGAAATCAAAGAACTCAACAACAAAAAATACAGCTAAGAAATGAGCAAAGGATCTGAATAGATAATTCTCAAAAGAAGAAATACTAGCGGCTAATAAATACACGAAAAAATGCTCAGCATCACCAGCCATTAGGAAAACGCAAATCAAAATCACAAGGCACTATCACCTCATCCCTGTTAGAACGGCTACTATCAAAAAGAAAGTAATAGGACTGGCATTGTGGCACAGCAGGTAAAGTCCCCGCCTGCAATACTGGCATTTCCTGTCCCGGCTGCTCCACTTCTGATCCATCTCTCTGCTAATGGCCTAGGAAAAGCAGCAGAAGATGGCCCAAGTATTTGGGCCACTGCCACCCATATGGAGACCTGGACGAAGCTCCTGGTTCCTGGCTTTGGCCTGGCCCAGCTTTGGCCATTGTGGTCATTTTGGGAGTGAACCAGTGGATGGAAGATATCTCTGTCTCTTGCTCTCTCTCTCTCTCAAACTCTTTCAAATAAATAAATCTTTTTTTTTTTTTTGCACAGGCAGAGTGGACAGTGAGAGAGAGAGAGACAGAGACAGAGAGAAAGGTCTTCCTTTACCATTGGTTCACCCTCCAATGGCTGCCACGGCCGGCACGCTGCGGCTGGCGCACCGCACCAATCTGAAGCCAGGAGCCAGGTGCTTCTCCTGGTCTCCCACGCGGGTGCAGGGCCCAAGCACTTGGGCCATCCTCCACTGCACTCCCTGGCTAGAGCAGAGAGCTGGCCTGGAAGAGGGGCAACCGGGACAGAATCCGGCACCCTGACCGGGACTAGAACCCGGTGTGCCAGCACCACAGGCAGAGGATTAGCTTATTGAGCCACAGTGCCGGCAATAAATCTTTCAAAAAAGAAAGTAATAAGTGCTGTGGAGGATATGGAGAAAGGAGAACTCTTGTACAATGTTAGTGGGAATCCAAATTAGTACAGCTACTATGGGAGGCAGTATAGAGATTTTTTTTAAAACTAGAAATACAACTGCCACACGGGGGCCAGTGCTGTGGCACAGTGAGTTAAGTTGCCACCTGCAGTACCAGCATCCTGTTAGGAGCCAGTTTGAGCTCTGCCTGCTCCACTTCCGATCCAGCTGTCTGCTAACATGCCAGGGAAAGCAGTAGAGGATGGCCCAAGTGCTTGGGTCCCTGTACCCTCATGGGAGACCAGGAAGAAGCTCCTGGTTCCTAGCTTCAGACCTGTCCTGCTTCAGACATTATGGCCACTTGGGGAGTGAACCAGCGGATGGAAGATCTCCCCCCCCCACCCCACTTTCAAATAATCAAATAAACCTTAAAAAAACAAAAAAGCAAACCTCAATCAGAACACAGAATAGTGACTAGTAAGGGGCTGGTGGTGGCAGTGGTGGGGAAGGGGTTGGGGTGGGAATAGAGAGGAAATTAGGACAATAGGAACCAAGTCATAGTTAGATCTTTTCCTCCTCTTCTAATCCAGCTCTCTGCTATGGCCTGGGAAAGCAGTAGAACATGGCCTAAGTGCTTGGGCCCTGTACCCGCGTGGGAGACCCGGAAGAAGCTCCTAGCTCCTGGCTTTGAATCAGCACAGCTTTGGCCGTTGTGGCCAATTGGGGAATGAACCATCAGATGGAGGACCTCTCTCTCTTTCTCTCTTTCTCTCTCTCTCTCTCTCTGCCTCTCCTTCTCTCTCTGTGTAACTCTGCCTTTCAAATAAAAATAAATAAATAAATAAATAAATAAATAAATAAATAAAAAGATAAGCAAGGTGATTATTTAAAAATAAATAAATAAATAGATAGATAGGCATTCGGCTGCTTGGGAAACCTGCGCCCCGTATTGGAATTTTGGTTTGAGTCCTGGTACCTCTATTTCTGACCCAGCTTCCAGCTAATCTGCATGCTGGGAGGCAGCAGATGGTGGTTCAAGTGCTTGGGAACCAGCCACCCACTTAGGCAGCCCAAGTGGTGACCCAATCACTAGGTCAAATTCTTGCCTCAGGTAATGAAGCAGAGTAGGACCCAAACCAAGGCACTGAGCTAACCAGATGGGGGTGCCCTAAGGGGCACCTTACGTGCTGCACCAAATATCTGGCCTGCCCTGGGAATTTTTGACCAAAAAATTTTAAGTAAATAAAATATAACACAATCTAACCCTCAGAACACTTAAATAAAATGTCACATCTGAAAAGCTTCCAAATGATGTAAGAATTTCTTTTCTAATATATTTAATAATTACATGATATTTAAAGCAGAATTAAAATCCTGATCAGTAGTACCTTTGCTTCTTCAAGTTCCTTGTCAGCAATATTCACCACAAAATTCTTCTCTTTTTCTAGTTGCTGTGCTAGTTGGTCAATTTTAATCAATTCTTTACAAAGGTGCTCATTGTGGCTGGTTAAGTCGTCTACTTGACTGCTTACCACCTCTTTACTATCCAAGAGTTTCCTAACATATTCTTCTAAGCCATGATTTGTCTGTGTGAGGTCTTCAATCTGTTGTAATCAGAAAGAAAAAAAAATCACATTAAAAGATTCCCTCAACTTACTTCTGATGAGAGCAAATAGGTCATTGGAATCAGGGAGATTTGCTTGCCAGACAAGGAGACTTAACTGTACACCTTTATGTACCTTCTGAATATTGTAGCATATAAATATATTTATAAATATACATGAAGAATGAACATTTCAAATTTTAATACTTTTATATTTCCATATAATTCACAATTTATTTTTTAAAATAAGATTGTAACAATAGTATCAATAGTAACTATTGATTTCTAACCGAACTATTAGGAAAATGGCCAAATACTTTTATCTTCAACAAGTACATCTTGATCTTAAATTTAATTTTTTAAATTTATTTGACAGGTAGAGTTATAGACAGTGAGCGAGAGAGACAGAGAGAAAGGTCTTCCTTTCGTTGGTTCACTCCCCAAATGGCCACTACGGCCGGCACTGCGCGGATTTGAAGCCAAGAGCCAGATGCTTCCTCCTGGTCTCCCATGTGGGTGCAGGGGCCCAAGCACTTGGGCCATCCTCCACTGCCCTCCCAGGCCACAGCAGGGAGCTGAACTAGAAGAGGAGCAACTGGAACTAGAACTTGGCACTTAAATTTAATTTTAATGATTAACATCACGAAGAGTTCCTTAGAATTACATCTCTAATTTTGGTTATCAAAATATGTTAGCTCTTAAAGTTCATTTGAATGTATCAATAACTTACTTGACTAAACTAAATACCAAATCAATCAAGTATTTGCTGACTAATGTGGAGGACCACAGCTTTCCTTCCCAGCCCACTATCAAACCATCAACGGATGAAGAAAAGGGCCTTTCCTATCACGAAGGTATTCAAATGCCTTTAAAGAAAAAAAAAACACACACACATTAGACCTACTGAATAATAATTGCACGATTACATCAGGAACTATATTAAATTCCAAAGATCGCTTTGGTACCTGCCCTCAGAGAATTTTGTTTTCTTAAAGAAACACAAATGTATAATAACACAAACAGCTATGAGATAAAGTGGTGGCAAAAATACTTTTCCACAGTGTTTGTCTTTCATTGTGTATTTAATAAAAATTTAAATACTGTTTGGCATTCTGAAGAAGATACCAAACAAAAAACCCAGGAGAAATTGTCTGGAAGAAGCATCTCAAATTCCTAAACCCTTGATCTCTAGTTTCTAACACTGTTCTTGCCCTTTTCAAATAATATAAAGACACTTTCCCCAAAACTACCAAAATCAATGTTTTCTTTAAAAATGTAAAGTTTATCTATAATTTGACACTATAATAGGAATACCCTAGAGGTCATAAATTGTTTTTAACCAAGTATGTTACAATGCGACTTACTCTACCCAATAAATACACACCAAGAAGCATGGTAAAAGTAATTAGTTTAATCCAATCCTTGCTTTGGCATTTTTGTATGGCACACTACTTACAAAACTCAAAAGAGAATTATCAAAGCCAGAAATAAGAAAGAATTTGAAGGAATTTTTAAAAACAGGGAAACTATAAATGCCCTATTTCATTAGTAGAGTCTTACCAAAACAATACTTCTACTCTCTTCTCTTTGGCCTTCTCCCATATGGGGCTAAAAAAGCTTTCAAAAATGCAAATTTGAGGTCACTCCCTTAACTTCATATAGTCTATTATCATATGAAGACTTTTAAAAATGACATTTGTAATCCCAGCCTACTTATCCGTCCAGCCTAACCTCTCACTGTTCCAAATACATACCTAAGCTCCAGACACACTGTAAGAAACAATCTAAACTCATTTAAAAATTTATTTTAGGGAAATTATTGAATTGTTATATACTATATATTCAGAACCTTCTTTATGAGACTCCTCATGGAAAATCTTTGCTCAGACATCAGTTTCAGGAAAATACTTTTTTTGGTTTGTTTTTAAATATTTACCTTTATCTACATGATAGGTGATGACAAAGAGAAAGTGATCTTCCATCTGCTGGTTCACTCTCTGAATGCCTGGCCAGGGCTGGACCGAGTCAAAGTCAGGAGCACAGAACTCCACCTGGGTCTTCCAGGTGGATGGCAGGGCCCCAAGCACTTCAGTCATCCCCTGCTAGCTTCCAGGATGCCTCAGCAGGAAGCTGGATCAGAAGCACAGCAGCTGGGCTCTGAACCAGCACAACAGAGTATGCAGACATCCCAAGAGATGGCTGTGCCACAACCACTTCCCTGAAAATACTTCTTTTGCGTTCCCATTTTTTACCCTAATCACCATGAGTTACTTAATACATCCTTTTGGCCTCTGCCTTGAATTAATTTTATAGCTGAATCTGCAGCCCAACTCGAGTAACTTCTACAGAAATTGTGTGCAATGATCTGTTTGTTATTCTCATCCCACACTTCCACTAAGTTTGTTTTTCCCTATCCTAACAAACTACAGGATGTGGGATGAACAGATAAATTTCAATTTATCTATCTACATTTTTTGTTTTTAGCTTCTACTGTGCTACAATTCTCAGCAATGGAAGACACTAAAAATGATGCTTGTTAACCTTCCACTAGACCAGGAAAGGTTAAATGCTTCTCCTTTTCCATACAAGGGGTCTTCAAAGAGTTCATGGAAAATGCACATTATAAAAAAAAAAAAAGCTATGCAAGGATTTAAAAACTTTTGCACAAAAATATATTTATCTTTTAATCCCATGTACCATAAACTCTTTGAATTGCCCTTGTACATACTCCCAAAGCCTGTTAAACGGCTTAATCTGAGTATTTTATGATATATTAAAATTATTTATTCAGGGGCCAGCGCTGTGGCACAATAGGCTAAGCATCTTCCTGCAGCACCAGCATCCCATGAAGGTGCAGGTTTGTGTCTCAGCTGCTCGTCTTCAGATCCAGCTCTCTGCTATGGCCTGGGAAAGATGACCCAATTGCTTGGGCCCCTGCACTCATGTGGGAGACTCAGAGGAGGCTTCTGGCTCCTGGGTTCAGATGAGCTCAGCTCGGGCCATTGGACCAGTGGATGGAAGACCAATTTTGAGATAAATTTTTTTTTTAAAAAATCACCTGTTCAGGGGTCAGTGTTGTGGCACAGTGGGTTAAGCCATGGTTTGTAGCTTCAACATCCCATATGAGAGTTCCAGTTCCAGTCCTGGCTGCTCTGCTTCTGATCTAGTTTCCTGTTAATGTGCCTGGGAGAGGAGTGGATGACGGTCCTTGTATTTAGGTCTCTACCACCCATGTGGGAGACCAGGATGGAGTTTCTGGCTCTGGCTTCAGCCTGGCCCAGACCTGGCCTTTGCCACTATCTGGGGAGTGAACCAGTGGATGGCAGATCTCTTTCTCTCTCTCCCCATCACTCTGCCTTTCATATGAATGAATGAATGAATGAATGAATCTTTTAGAAAATCTCTTGTTCATTTCCCTATCCTTTCCAGTAAATTCTAAGCAACTTAAGGGATCACATCTCTCATCTATCAATGTAAGTCTGATTTCTATATCCTTTATTATACATCTTACACATAATGTTCAAGTTACATAAACAGATAATGAACCAATAAATGAACACTCCCTTCACCTCTGACATCAAATCCATTTTTATTCCACTCCAAGGCAAAAGTACTTTAGATGAGGCCATATACAGTAATAGAAAGGATGTGGGCTTTGGATTTTAGCAGTTAGGCTTAACTCCTGTTGTATCTCTTTACTAGTGACATAACCTTGGGCAATTTACTATACTTTCTGGATCCTAGGAAATGCATCAGACTTCAGAAAAAATAAATGGGAAACTTTGGAGTCTCATTTGTTAAATGGAGAGAACACTTAAAATTTGCAGGGTCGTAGTTAGAGATTATAAAATCTCAAGTAAAATTATGGCAGGTAATAGGTACTCAAAATTAAGTTTTTTTTTTTAAGAAAAAAGCTTTTAGTTTTAAATAACTAAAGGCTCACATGCAAATTAATAGTTGCATCTTAAATACAGTACAGTATCTATTGCACTATAATTGCAATAATTGTGTGTATATTTTTCTATATAATTTTCTCACATGTGCAGATTGCTCTACCACCTGGAGATACAGAACTATTCCATCACCACAAAGATAACCCTCTTAGCACTCCTGTATATTACAACCTCTCTTTCCCCATTACAACTTTTTAAAAAAGATTTATTTATTTATCTATTTATTTGAGAAGCAGAATTACAGAGAGAGGAGAAAGAGAGAGAGGTCTTCCATCTGCTGGTTTACTCCCCAGATGGCTGCAAAGGCTGGAGCTGCGCCAATCTGAAGCCAGGAGCCAAGAGCTTCTTCTGGCTCTCCCACCTGGGTGCAGGGGCCCAAGACCTTGGGCCATTTCCACTACTTTCCCAGACCATTAGCACGGAGTTGGATCTGAAGTGGAGCAGCCGGGATTCAAACTAGTGCCCATATGGGATGCTGGTGCTGCAGGCAGAAACTTAGCCTACTATACCAAAGCACTGGGCCCCCATGACAACTCTTAATAATCATTATCTGTGTAATTTTGTCGTTTTGAGAATATGTAAATAAACCCTTCAGTATGTGATTTTTTTTTTTTAATTTTTGACAGGCAGAGTGGACAGTGAGAGAGAGAGACAGAAAGGTCTTCCTTTACCCTTGGTTCACCCCCCAATGGCCGCTGATCCGAAGTTGGGAGCCAGGTGCTTCTCCTGGTCTCCCATGCGGGTGCAGGGCCCAAGCACTTGAGCCATCCTCCACTGCACTCCCGGGCCACAGCAGAGAGCTGGCCTGGAAGAGGGGCACTCGGGACAGAATCTAGTCCCTGACCGGGACTAGAACCCGGTGTGCCAGCACCGCAGGTGGAGAATTAGTCTATTGAGCCGTGGCGCCGGCCAAGTATGTGATCTTTTGAGATTGCCTTTTCTCACTCAGCACAATGCCCTTGAGACCCCCACAAGTTGTTACATGGGCCAACAGTTCATTCGTCTTTATTGCTGAGTAATTTCTCCTATCTTCAACTATTCTCAGAGA